GCTCCCCCTGTCACAGCAGAGAGCCGTGACAGGATCGAGAGGTGAGCGAACGCCGGTATGTGTTCGCTCTCCTCCCGATCTACTGAGCCGACCTGTGACAGTCTCATTGTCACAGGTCGGCTAGAACTATGAGGTGAGTGACAAGCCCCTCCCCCCTCATACTTCTCCTTTTAAGTACATTTTTCACAAAATCTTTGGGTTTGATAAGGAGCTGCGCTAATATCGTGCAACATAAAAATTTGCAACTGCCGCCATTTTATTCTTCAGGGTCTTGGCTTTCAGAAAATATCTCATGTTTGGGGATTTTTTTAAAGTACTTTTCAGGCCTAAAATGTGGAATATAACACGGCTGCAAAAAATGGAGAGGAAAAAAAGGCCTCGGTCATGAAGGGGTTAATGAAAGGAGATTTTAATGGCTGGGTTCCAGCTGTCAGTTTCCTAGCTGAGGGGCGGGGGGACAGAATACATTGCCGGCTACATTGGGCAATAGCCTCTCCTTTTGCTCCCGTGTTCTCGGAGCCTGTGATGAGGAAATGTAAATGTGGCCCCGCACGGTTTCCAGATACATGAGGCAGCGGTATAGATGACTAAACCTCTTCGTCAAGTCCGGGCCCGGCTGCTCGGCTGCAGCAGGAAGAATTGTGTGAAAAGTCTTTTTGTTCCTCTTCTGCTTTCTCTGTTACAAAGAATTTGAATCTCAGGTGTCCTCAGCGTGTGAAACTGGCTGAACCCGACAGACTACTGACTGTAAATCCCGCTGTACACGCTGCCAGGAAACCACAGCAAAGCAGAGGTCCCTGTGTGTGCACATACAACTGACGTGCGTGCGTGGTGCATTCTCTTTTCTCGTTCTTGTTACAATCGTGCCATGTGAACTCTCTCAGAATGAGAAGAAAGAACGAGAACAGAGCGAGTTTTATTACGTGAAAGGAAAGGGTCGGTTTCCACCTTTTTGCTTATGTTGTGGCTTCTGTTTTTTTCTTTCTTTATCACCCTTCACAGGTCTGTGGCTGTACCCGGCAGGGAAAAGCACGCCCTGCCTCACTCTCATTGGCTCTCCGAATTTCGGGTACAGGTCGGTCCACCGGGACCTGTTGCAAACTAAGGTCTCCGTGTCTGCATTTCATATCATACACGCAACAGCTCACCGTTCTGCAGTATAATGTCATATCACAATGCTAATTTTGCTACCCCAGTGACGTCATAAGGTGGGTGACACCATCAGAGGGGGTGACACCAAAATGACAGTCATTTTGGTGTCACCCCCTTCTTAAAAGTCAAGCACTCGGTTGTGGCCCGAGAGACCAGGGGAGCTGAAGGCATACCTGATCCCGCCGGGTCAATATCCCCGCCTCTCTTTGCTGGCATCCATCACCAAGGTACATGATGATATCGATAATACGAAATCACCGGCACTCCATACAGCGTACAGACCCTGGATGAGAGGTCGGTGCTCGAAGTGACAACACGCATGGCGCCGTGTCAGATGCAGTCCGTAATAGAAGTCACCGGAACTCGATGATACGTGCAGGGAGTAAAGCACTTTTTATTCAATCGTCACATGCGTCATGCAGCCAACGTTTCGGGGGCCACGCAGGGTCCCTTCTTCTGGGTGACCTAGTTACCTTATGGTTACTAGGTCACAGAAGAAGGGACCCTGCGTGGCCCCGAAACGTTGGCTGTGTGACACATGTGACGATTGAATAAAAAGTGCTTTACTTCTTGCACGTATCATCGAGTTCCGGTGACTTCTGTTATGGAGGTACATGATGATGTCACATCTCAGATGTCATAACGCATGCACAGCGGCCACCCTGGTGCTGCCACTGCGCTACCCCCCCATAGTTTTTGCAGAATACAATTGTGACACTTCCCATGCGCTCTGCCTCTGCGAGGGGTGAGGAGTTGTTGTTGTTTGTTGTGGTTGGTGGGACCTCTATTGTATGTACTTGAGGTGGGGGACCTCTATTGTATGTACTTGAGGTGGGGGACCTCTATTGTATGTAC